GGTCTAAGTTTTAATGTAAAAAGTTGTATAACAAAAGTGGCCTGGGACCGCGGCTAGATGTGTGAAATGAGATTTTATTTTTTCATAATTGAAACATATGGGCGCTTCGCTGTTCTTATAGTTGTAAAGAAAGACTGATGGAATTACGACCTTAGCAGTTGTCTTTTCTATTAATGAGTTTTATTATATAATTTATTGCGCCTATCTTGTTAACAGAGGAAATAGTTTATAGCTTAATCTTGCATATAGACAATGCAGGTATACAGTTTAGCATGTGTACAAGGGTGTACATAGGCCGTGGAGAAGTGTAGCATACAAATACACATTATACAGCATGAGTAGCAGACAAACACGGTGTATCGCAAGAGACTCGGAGTAAGTGGTAAATGTATAGTGTATAGCGGAAGTGTATCCTGGTGTTGGTAGACAATTGTGTAGTGTATATATCGAGTGTATTCTATTGACGAGCTCTCATTACCCGGCTGTAGTTTCCTCTCAACGATTCCCGGCAACTTGTCTCGCTGTTGCTGCTACCACTTCTTCTGTTATCGTTTGTTGATGTTATCTTTATTGTTGTATCTGATAACTTAATTGTGTTGTTGTTTTCTTTACTGTTGTTGCGACTATTGTTTGTTGCTGTTCCTTCCTCTTCGGTTTATCATTACTGCTGTAATTGTTGCAACTTGTGTTAGCCTGTTGCTGCTGTTGTCTGTTGTTGCAGAGATTGTTGCTTCCAATCCTTTGTTAATGTTCTGTTGTTGTAAGCTTTGTTGTTCCTGTTACTCTCATGGTGTTCTTTCGTTACAGCTTCTTCTGCAGTCCTGTTGCTTCTTCAATTTTATGATTTATAATTCTGCTTTTGATGTCCTTTTTCTGCTTAATCCGTTTTAGTAACCGCTGTTAAGTTCCAAATTGCTGTCGCTGTTCCCGTTGTTCTTCTGTTGGGGTGCCGCCGCTGTTTTCCTTCTGTTTGAGCGCTGCCTTTGGTTTTCTGGAGTGTTTCCGTGGATGTCTTTCTGTTGGGTTGCTACCGTTGTTGTCATGCTGAGTTACTACTGTTTTTGTGGTCCTTTTAGCTTGCTACTGTTGTTGTTCCGTTGAGCTGCTGCTGTTATTGTGATCCTTCTGTTGGATTGCTACCGTTCTTGTTCTTACTGAGGATTGGGGGTTAGTGTTTGTGCAAAATATCGTTCCTTATTTCAGAGGGGAGGGGGTTGCGTATTTCGTGGCATTGTTCCATTGTAATTGAAAAAGTTTGTCGGGAGAATTATGGGAGGACCTGAGCCCATCACAGCCAACAAAGGCCAGGTAATTTTTGTTTAGTAATTTTACGCAGTTTGCCCACAAGTTTGTCTTATCATAATATATGCGAAAATAATTGACAATAGATCCCAACCGTATCATTCTTTCCCTCTTCCTCCTCCTCCTCCTCCCCTCCTCCTCCTCCCCCCTTCCTCCTCTCTCTACCCCTCACACTCCACCTCTCCCTCCCTCCCCCAAACAGATAAATGGCGACTCCCATTACTGTGTTGTTGTTTTTTTAAGTTACGTAAACTCCACTTTAGTTTCGTTATAATGAATCGAAGTAAAGAGGTGAGAGGAATAGGATGAAGAAGAAAGGAGAGGTAACGAAGAACAGGAGCAAGAGGAAGTGATAGGGAGAGGAGGTAGGAGGAGGAGAAAGAATAGGGGCAGGGGCAGGAGGTGGAGCAGCAGTAGGAGGAGGAGAAAGTGCGGAGGATGAGGATAGCTGTAGCCAAGTCCCACGGGGCGTAACAATGACTTAAGGGCAACAACAACAACAACCATTTGATTCCGTGTCCGTCATCGGGGATTCCATGAATGGCGAATCTCGACAAATTACTGGGTTGTCTTGCAAACGTTATTATGTCAAACAAATGAAAATATGACATTCCAGTCAAATTTTGTTAGCAGGTCATGTAGGAAATTAAGGGAAGTCACGATATATAATATTATCTCCATTGTTGCCTCCCCTTCCCTCCCTCCCCCGGTAATTTTTTTCTTCTTGAGGGGACACGATACTGCTATGAGAAAGAGCTGTGCCGACGTGTACAGGAGGCGTGATCGTGTGGGGACGTGTACAGGAGGCGTGATCGTGTGGGGACATGTACAGGAGGCGTGATCGTGTGGGGACGTGTACAGGAGGCGTGATCGTGTGGGGACGTGTACAGGAGGCGTGATCGTGTGGGGACATGTACAGGAGGCGTGATCGTGTGGGGACGTGTACAGGAGGCGTCGTGACATGTACAGGAGGCGTGATCGTGGGGGACATGTACAGGAGGCGTGATCGTGTGGGACGTGTACAGGAGGCGTGATCGTGTGGGACATGTACAGGAGGCGTGATCGTGTGGGGACGTGTAGAGGAGGCGTGATCGTGTGGGGACGTGTACAGGAGGCGTAATCGTGTGGGGACGTGTACAGGTGTGATCGTATCGGGACGTGTACAGGAGGTGTGATCGTGTCGGGACGTGTACAAGAGACGTGATGTTGTGGGAACGTTTGTAGAAGTGGATTTGTGTTGACGTGTAATGAACGTGCACTGACTTGTTGTAAAGACGTGTACAGGAGACTTACTTGTATGGTGACGAGAGTTTGTGACGTGCTTGCCCCACTACACCAGCCCTTCCCCTCCCTCCCAGCCTCCCCGTACATAACTGCTCTGTCGTCTCCATTAAATAAGCAGAAACGAGTGGATAGTTTTATTATCAAGAGTCTAACGAAAAATATACGTGATTAGAACATGTACGTAAATGTTTATAATAGACTATTTTCTAAAGCACTCACCTCCAGTTCTTTGAATCGCTGGCACTGCCAGTCCACCAGCTGTAATTGAGTACCTAACTTTATAGGCTAGGGAAGTGTAGGCGGTCGAGTGCAGTGCCGGCCATACTGACTCCTTGTATACCAAAGGCTTAGTATTCAGTCCTGTAGGACCCAATTTCATGTTGATAGAAAATTACATTGTGGAACCCGGTGAACAGGTATAGCTGCGGAAATGTGTTCATACACCTGCAGTAACCAGTGTCTCCAAACGGCACCGTCACAGTTGTAGTATCACTATTTATGAATGAATGAGCATTGGTTATGTAACAACGGACGTGATTGGTGGATAGGTCATACAGGTCAGCCATTTGGAGACAAATGTGACCACAGAGGGTGTAGGAACACATTTCCGCAACTGTACCTCCATACAGGTGTTAATTAAATAAGAATACTGTGCTATTACTACTCTTTTAGACCCGCCCGTTATACTCTGATTTTTGTGACTAATTTCTAATATTTCTCGTGTTTTTCTTTTATCGATGCTGCCAGTGAAAAATTCAGATTTCAATTACAGTACAGTAGTGTGTACGCGGATAACACTATATCTTTAATTGACAAGTGGAGGAGCCGACGCCCACCTTCCTCATGTTTTTCTTTACCGTGACTAAAGGTTAGGAAGCAAGAAAGAAAAATTATAATTGTTTCTTTAGATGCATTCATGTGCATTGCATTAGATCCTTGTCACAAGTAGCGCCCAGTCGATGTGTTCTACACTTTTGTTTTCTGCATTTTTCTCTTAATTTTACACAGAGAATTATTCCTGATTTTAGTATATTTGATGCTGGAAACCAAAGCTATCCAGGAAAAGAGAATTCTAAATATGACAATGAAAATAACTACTATAAAAAAAAATGAAGATAGTCTGCATTACAATAGGAATGGATAAATTCATTTGATACATTATCAGGCAAAACTCTGGCTTCCTCCCTTTCCTTTGTATCCATAACCGAGGATGCTCTGTACGTTTAACCATATCACTTAATTTATATCAGATATAAGATAATATATATTAATAAGAGCTACAAAAAAGACGGTGGTGAACACTGGGCCTGGCAGTGTCGGGCGGTCATCTGGCCATGTGTGGGTTTCCCGCGTAAAATATGAGTTGGCCACACAGCTGCTGCCGCCCCTCCACATTAATTGTCGTCAAATGTCGTCATGAAATTATTATCCATACCCTGCTCTCTTCGTACACCCCCCTCCCCCAAGTTCTTGATAATAATGCCTTTGTTTAATACCTCTATGTTCCATATATTTATCACCTTACCATTCTCTGTGCAAAGCAAGTTGAGCTCACAAGTTCCCAACCTCATGTTACACCGAGGTGCTCCACTGCACGATAATTATATATTAGGGGTTATTTTATATTATTGCCGTTCAGTTCATTTGATAATGATGCTCAGCTTATGGAAGTGTGTGATACTGTATAGCGACGGGCCACATCTTGCACAATTTGCAACATTTGTAGCTTTGGATATTTGAAATAAATTTTATTAAAAATAGGTTTGAGCAAAATAATTATAAGATTTATTTTTTGCATCTAACGATAAATTAAATAATGAAGCTTCAAACCAGAACGTGGTTTTGGATCTCAGATACAGCATAAAGGAGAAAATAAAAGAATGGTAGGAAGTATTAATAACGAAGGCGTGAACTTACTGTACAATATATTCAAAACAAACGGGCATGAATAAACTCAAAGTACGTCAAAATACTGGAGGGAGGTTACAGTCATGGTAAAGTGGGTAATATAACATGACTATGATATACATTACATAATAAGTAATGTATCTCTCAACATTCCCAGGCCATGCGAACCTTACCCCAAGGCGACTAGCCTCGCCAGTCGCCTGAGGGTGTATTGTGAATCATGCTAGCGTCCTCTCCCCCACTTTACATATTATGCTATTTTCTCGTTTTGTGACCACAACTTATGAATTATGGTATATCTCTTCATAATGCTCACTTGTAACATTCGCTTCACCCTACATGAACTGTCACTTAATATTATAAACCTAGCCTTAGCATATCAAGATTTCCCTTACAACCCAGTCAGTACAGTAATCCTATGGCTTTCAAACTAACACCCTAAAACCATAAAACACATTTATAATGCGTTGTCCGTGCTACAGATAACCATTTCTTTTTTCCGGCAGATACATACCAGGCGCAAGTGCAGGCGGCGTGGCAGAAGAGCTGGAACCAGACCCAATCACTCCTGCAGAACCTAAGGTTTCGTGAGCGTGGACCACTGAAGTCTTGGAGGCCAGAAACCATGGCCGAGGCTATCCATGCTGTGCTGAAGGAAGGGTTGTCGCTGTCTCAGGTAAGTACCACAGTAGCTGTGTCCTTAACTCAGTTATGTTTTCAGAGGACATCTCAAAAGGTTGAACTGGATTCGGATTGTCATTTTAATGCAGGATAATTCACACTAAGTTTTTGCCAATCAGGTCAAAGAGCAATTATCACAAGACTTGCAAATTTCCTCAGTTACGATTTGCATGATGTTAATAAAGAGATGGGCTCTTGCATATTTAAACAACAGTAAGAGTACAGTACATTATAATAGTAAGTTTTTGTATATTGTAATCAACAGTTTTATAACAGTATAGAAGTAATTTCCTGAATATATATGACATTAAGTTCGTGTTTATATAATCGTCAGCAAAGTTCTTTAACAAGTTCCTGTACAAATAATTAATTGGGACAAATATATATTAAAAAGATTTTTCCACATGCTGTACATTAAGTACACCTTCTTTTACAGGCCGCCCGCAAGTATGACATCCCATACCCCACCTTCGTTCTTTATGCCAACCGAGTTCACAACCTCTTGGGGCCGTCACAGGAACCTGGGGACATGAGGCCTAAGGGACGTGGCAGACCACAGAGGATCCTGCTTGGGTCATGGCCTGAAGAGCAGATTAAGGGTGTGATCAGGGCCGTCGTCTTCAGGGACACCTCTGTGTTCAAGGACAATGAACATAAATTGGGCGGGAAGACAAAGGTACTGTCCAATGGTGCCAGAACTCTTATATCCCAATACAGTATTGTTCTGTTCGAGATAATTTTTTTTAATCATTTGCTGTATTTTACTTCAGCGCACATGCACTGCTACTTATATAATTCATTTCACCTGAGCACTAACTATGGATGAATTTTGTTTATAATGTCTTAATATTTTTTGTGAGGAATTTTTGTCTTAAGATTTACAATGACTGTTATCTGTACTTTTAAAGGAAGTAATTGCAGTATGTATGCAGTGTTTTAATTGATGCTTTTGCTTGATTAACTGTATAGAAAAATAAATTAATATTAACACAAGACAGAGTTGACAGTGTTTTTGTATTAATTTTGCATATCATCACAGCATGCATCTCTCTCGCCAAAAGATTGAATCATGTTTGTAAATGTCTCAACCCCCCCTTCAAAATTTAATGTCTTACAAGTAGTAGTACATTACTTGGCCGAGTTCATAAAACTTGTTAATATCAGCACAGACAAAGCACTAGAAGTTATTGGATATTTCCATTTGTGTTTTTAATTGTGATTATTTTATCTTCACCCTATTGTTATAAATTATTTACCCACTAATAGTTATTGTCTTTAGGATCTGTAGAACTCACCATCTCCCCCATTTAGTCACAGTATTCACCTATACTGTAGATTTGGTGTTCACTATGTTTTTCTCTGTATTTTTTAGGAAAACAAGCATCCACAAGCGCCCAAGCTGCCTCGGGTTAGTATACAGTATACTTTGTAATTTGATTTGCCTATGACCTCTCTCTGAGTCATAACTTAAATATCACTTTCGAAATTATTGTTTCAAGTTTTATATTAGATCATGTGAAAAAAAGTTGTTGTTTTTTCGTTATAACTACCATACACTACTGTAAAAGCTACAAATCTATACAGTACTTTGCTACTTGATTCTCTTGACCTCCTGTTGAACATTTAATAAAACACAGGTTGAAGATCTTTAATTTAGATTACTGAAAAAGTTGTATATCCCAAATAGATTTTTTAACAAGCTTCATGTTTTTGTCAAAAATGTATCACCTAGCCACAGTTTCTGCTACACATACATTTATACAGTATCTACTGTATACCCTGCAAGAACTAAGAAACAAAATTTGTGTTAATCACAGAATAACAAGAAAACTTTTAAATGTGGACACTTACAATGGCTCTTGGCTTATCTGGGTTCATGCAGAATTTATTACGACCTTTCCATCTCTCTCTTGAGTAATAATTGGAGGGGTCAATATTCCAGCTGTCATGTGTGTTTTCTCAGGAGACCAGGAATGAGTTAGTAGAGGCATGAGACCTTGATCTCTGTCAGTGTACTGTACATGGTTAAATTTCATTTTCTTGTGTTTTGGTAAACTGATGAAGGTTTTATTTTTCAGGAGGATCCTAGTGCATTGCTTGTCAAACCCAATGGCCCAGTATTGCCCAATGTATCTGGCATCTTAGGGCTATCCATGGACACACCTGACAATGGTAGCCTATCAACTGCACCCAGTACTCCAGCATCATCTACCCCAGCGCCATCAACACCCGCACCTACTACCCCCATCCCAACACCATCTACCACACCTATTGCCTTGCCCCTCACAACACCTCCAACTCCAGGAAGCACTGTGGTTACAGCAGCTGGCAGTCCGATATCTAGCGAATCTCGTGTGGCTAATATCTCCATGAGTAATTCCACCCCACCTCCAACCAGCATCGTGTCTGCTTGCCTCACAACTACAACACTTACTTCCTCTATCATGTCCTCACCGGTGTTTAGTCTTACTAACAGCATTAACACCAACAGTAATGGCAGTATTACTAGTAATGGAGAGCCACCAGTTAGTCCTTCTCAAGGGACTCAACAGCGAGAGATGTCCCCACAGAACCCTCATCAAAATCAACAGCAGGAACAGCAGCATCAACAGCATCAAGAACTACAAATGCAGCAGGAGCAGCAGTCACAGCAACAACAGTCACAGCCATCACAATCACAACAGCAGCAACAACACCCACAACAGCAGCCATCAACACCACAGCCACAGCACCAAACCCAACATCAAGCCCACCGCCAGGCTCTACACCCGAGCCCACACCCAGGCCCACTTCCTGGGCCACACCCTGGGCAACACCCAGGCTCACACCCAGGCCCACACCCTGGTCCACATCATAGCCCACTCCAAGGCTCACAACATGCCCCACTCCAGGGACCACACCGGAGTCACCTTCCAGGTCAGCACTCTGGCCAGCAGCACCAGGGACAACACCAAGGACAGCACCAACAGCACCCGCAGTCACAACACACACCACAGCATCACCAAGCACAGCATCCTCAACTTGGAGGTCTTTTGCCTAGTGGACTTCCCTCACCTCTGGCTACATCTTTGGCGTCACCTGTCCATTTGGCACGATTGTTTGGTGAAGGTACTCATCCTCACCTTCCTGGTCACCAGCCTCCACAACACCCTCAAGCACCCATCAGTCCCTTCCACCCTGCCTTCCCCCGACACCCTCATCCTTCTGCTGCAATGCAGGTCATGAATGCCATGAATAGTCTCAATGCTCATGCTTCTCGCATGAATTCTAATGATATTGAGCCATCACCTGAAGCATTGCTGTTCAATAAGTTAACAAATCCTCATATGAATCCCACTCAAGGTAGTAGTGACACACTTGCACGAAGTGGTCCAACCCAAAATCAGTTTGACAACCATGGAGATGCCTCCACCTTGTCAGGTATGGTAGACCGTGCATCACTAATGTATCGTGATGGACTTGATGTCATTAAATCTGAACCTGAACCCATCCTGAATTGAAATTTCCACAGCTCTTTAACAATGGCCCCCACATACTGTAGAGAGCCTCAGTGTTGGTGATAAACAGCAACTAATTTTGATAGCAGTTTTCATGCTGTCTGAAGTGTGTCTCCATACTGCTGGTTTTGTTGTGCAGTGTATAGGATCCCGAAATAATAAATTTTTATGTAGGGACCATATTATCTAAGAAAATTTTGCACACTTCTTTATAAGAGCATATTTTAATTGATTATGTAAATAGTAGAGAGAATTACAGTACATAAGTAGCTTTGCATCTGCATTTGTCCAAAACAGTTGGGCATTACCTCAAAGTGAAACTCATTCAGACGCAATGTCACTGTACAAACTGGACATGCCAATATTCCCCTTCTGTATATAATAATGGTGATTGGTGCATGTACCTGTGTGTGCTGCCTTGCACCCTTCACTCTCATCTGAAGAATGGGTTTTTATACCTTAAAAGGTATTGTTGCTTTACTTGTTAGTAATAGATCAGAAGCTGATGTAGAACTAGAGTATAGGAGCACCTGGTTTATGGTAGTGCGTTAATTTATTTTGCTGATCCAAGAATATACTTGCCTTCACCTGATCTTTTGCCTTAATTGAGAGGAGGGCCATGGTCATGCCCATGTGGCAAGTGGTATAAGGCTCTTCTGCCCACCCACCATTTAAACATTCACATTTGAAATGTTTTTTCAGCAATTCATTTGCTCCTTTAGTATATACTGTATGTAGAAGTAACTAATGGAGGATCATTCCTATAACAAAAAACTGGGCATCTTGACTTTCCCTGTTTATTCTAATGAGAATGTGTACCTAATAGGTACCAAAATTGTGTTAGTAAAATGTTAGGTAGACATTTTTTCAGTGTATTTAATCCAATGTCTTAATATTTTAAAAGTATGGAAGAATCATCTGATACTGTCATGAATATCAAAGACTACAAAGGGAATCTGATTCATTGTTATACTTGTTGATTATGTAATACACTAATTTAAGTTTTGGACTGTAATCCAAAATATGTTGTTCTTATTTTCCAATTGATTTTATAGACATATACAATATATAACCAAAGTATACATGATAGGTTAAGGCTATTTTAATACTTGTAGTTTGTAAGATATGATCATAAACTTAAGAAAGTGAAGTGTCGCACCAAACAGTGTTCTCTGCTTCTCTAATTTTTTTTATTTAATTTTCATGAGTTTGTCATTTAACTGGCAATATATGATAACTAGGAGAAGCAGGGCCAACATTGGAATTTTAGATTAGATGTTACCAGTGTATTATGCTATGTAGCAGCAGAGAGTCTGGCTTGGAAACACATTTATAGTGATTTTCCTTTCTTTATTCATTCTCTCTGCTGATTTTTTTATGTATACTTATACATAAGTTTGAGACATGTCCATGATTGAGCTCCAAACTTTGTAACTTTTATGGCTCTTTATATTTCCTTATTCTCTTAACATTCCCATTCAGATTTTCTGCTGCATGTATACCATTATATTAATTATATAGTTTTATGTTCTTTATCATAGAGCACTCAATATGCATTTCTGTAATTATAATCCCTTTGAGCTGTTATTTATGTTAGTGATATCTGTAATCCTCCCACACTCCTCAGGCTGCTATTGGGGAACTAACTAGTTTAAGTTTAATGGCAAAAAGTATCTACAAATTTTCTGACAGATACAAAAAAACATGTACCAGGAAACAAATGAGCCCTTTATGCTCTGTGTGTATGATTCTGACATTTACACACCAATGAAACACTGACTTTACTGGAAACCAATGAGAGGTGTCAGACCTCTTAAGCCCAATAGTTGGCCATTGTACATATTGTGATATAGAACTCAACTCTGGCCATGAGGCAGAGTAGGCACCCCGCCTGCCTCCCATGTGTGCGTGTGTATGTGTAGTAGCTTTTTCGTGGTGCCCCCAGGTGTCGTCGTCATCGTCACCAGACCCCGTCATCCAACTCCCCATACTACTGCTGTGTGCATGTTTTGTTGGTATTTGTACTGTGGTTGGTAATAGCTTGTCAGATCACTAATCAGCGTATTGATAATAATGTAATATCAGGAATCATATCTTTAAAATCATACCTATGTTATTTATCAATTTTAACAAAATTTTGAAAGAATTGGTTCTTTGGTGTATTTGCTAAGTCCATGTAGACAAAGATAGAAAGTCTGGTAGGTAACTATGTTTGGCCTGGTGCCATAGGGAGGGATGTGCCTGTAGATGCTCTAAATAAATGCTATCTTAAGTGTTTTTTTGAATCGCCTTTCCAACAAATACCATCCATCCCCTCCCCCCCCAATTACACATCACCCATCCTCTTTCTCTCCTTCCTGTATAATCCACCCATTCCCTTCTTTCTTTTCCCTTCAAACCATCTCTCCTCCCCCAATACACACCATCCATTTCCCATCTCCCCCACACACAAAAACAAACCAACCCCCCAACCACACCATACTCCCAAACACACCATCCTCCTCCCAAACACACCAGCCTCCTCCCAAACACACCAGCCTCCCAAATGCAACATCCTCCTCCTAAACACACCATCCTCTGCCCAAGCACACCATCCAGCTAAACGCACCATCCTCCTAAACACACTATCCTCCCAAACTCACCTTGTGCATTTAATATAGGCATTGAACATGAAAAAAGTGTGGGTGGACACCATAGGATGATGGTGCATGATAAAAGTGCATGGGTACCATAGGATGTGAGGCCCAGAAGAAAGAGTTTGGATAAAGCACACTAAATATTAAGCCTACAGAAAACACCCAGGCTCTGTGTCTGGCAGTACACTCGACTACCCACATTTCTCCTTTTGTATAGTTATGAGCCAGTTTACTACTTGGTGGATTGGGAATATCAAATGAAACAATGATATGCTATATACTGCCAGATTCTGGGGTCACTAAGTCTAAGGGGATAACTTAACTCTATTCTTAATTTCTAAGGGTTGCTGCCACCAGACTCCCTCTGAGCAGTAGCTCATTAGGTAGTGGGCAGAGTGGACTAGGCATTGGGTTGGGTTTTTCATTGACCAGATCGATAAGGGAAAGAAGGGTGAAACAGTAACATGTCTTACCTAATATATTCTTTATAAAACCTATTGCATTCCATTAAAATACAAGCGAGTTGGCCTTCCTCAGAAGAACAACCATGATTTTGGTTACACTGTCCAACAACAGACGTCTTACATTAATTGCGTGTCATCCACATACTTATTGCATAACAATCAGTGACCTCCTTACCTCGGTCATCCCTTCTTACAATAACACTCAACACATCAGACTGCTCTACCTGTATGGAATATAGCACCTTAGGTTATCATACATAGTAGCACCATCTCACCTCCCTGTAGCACCATCTCACCACACCTGTTACACTCCACACCTGCAAGTATGGGACTCCTTGTAATTTCTAGGTACACATATCAGGCACATCGGTGGGTAGAGACGAGGGTTTCACCAAGAGACATACCAGTACTGTACTGTTTCTACGCCTGGTATTATAGGTCGCTCCAAGTGACGACCGCGGAGTTTCTCAATCATTCCATTGTGTATTCCTACTCATTTGTGGTGGTATGCCGGGAATTCACAGTGGAGTAGGGAGTAGTCATCTCACCTGGTGGAATGCTCACGGGGGTAATGGCCGCCGTTCTGGTGAGTTCAGAGCGCGCGGGGGACCTGTGTTGGTGAAGGAGCAGGCACGTCTGAAAAATAATGCCTGATGGGCCGTTATCACACACCCTAACACATTAAAATATAAGTCTTGTTTTAGGGCTGAATACAGCCCGATGAAGTTCACTGACCTGTGTTGGTGAAGGAGCAGGCACATCTGAAGGCCGATGCCCCACGCTTCTCTCACCGACTAAGCCTACAGTTTCCAATCTTTAATTTTCACTTTGATTTCTTATGGTTCTCACATGAACACTTTCCTGTATATTGTAACCTTATGCCTTACAAATACATATTTTAATCCTAACTTACATGCTAGAATACGGCTTGGGTTTGACAGTTCCTGGGGAAATTAATTGGGCAATATCATCAACTCAAACCTGTAGTCTGGGTACAAAGGACACTACCCTGAAACAAAAGCCGAATGTTCATAGCATTGGTATATCCACTTCACTTAAAACTGTAATTAGGGATCCTCCTCTTACACATTGCACTACTTGAACATAGACATAAGATTCTCTGATCACTATACATGTCGTGGGTATACGTCACATGAGAATACGAGGTGTATTAAGTTCACACCGATGCATACAAGATATTTCCTTTCAAGTATAGTTTCTGGGTCACTTCCAACACCTCACATAGTTCTGATACATTTATCCTTTTTCCAAATCATTGTTCTCATGTATTTTCATATGATATCTGCAGAAGTTATGTTCGCTAAACGTTCACAGACGTAAATAGTATGACTTTCAAACCACGACCTACACTTAGTCCTAAAGTACACTTGTCCGGATCAACTGAACTTTCCCAATCATCTTATAGATACCTTGAGTTCTCCTTAATGCTATGAGTACATACAATTAATATTATATACCCGTAGTTGGGTACAATTCATCAAATAATTCCGTAACATTCATTAGGTGAGTTATTCTGTATCAATGTTTCCCGTTTTCTGAGATTCTACAAGCGCGGTGGATTTGAATGTTATTTCGCGTAATATGAATTAAAGGGAGTTTTTAGGAATGACTATGATGTGTGCAGTACAATGCACTGTAATACATGTGCCATATTTTCTTCACCTGTAGAGAGCACGTAACTTTTGTGATGCCTCAGTCAACTGAATGAACACTTACATTCACATGAAGCGATTTTTTAAGTTGCACTGACTTGTAGCTGTCCGGAAGTTGGACAGGTCAGGCTCCCAAATATTTCATTTCTGCTGCCAGCACTCCAGCTATTTCAAGGTGCTCTTTGTACTTCAGAATCTTTTTCCTTTACTTTGAATCATTCATCAATAAGAGAGAGCTTCAAAAAGAGCATGTTGTTGAGGTGGCAAGAAACAAGTTTCAAATTCACAGAGCAAATGGTCAACAAATGGAATTGTAAAAGTGCGATGGGAATCTTTTTGGACAAGTTATAGTACATCTATTAATTTGCTTTATCTTTATATGAGGTAATGGTGGTTTAGGGGTATCAACTGATTCACTTATGGGAACAATTTCTGTGTACTGTCACCAACTTTATCAATATCATCAAAACACTATTTGATAGCACAGATTTTTTTTTTTTTTTTTACGGGAATTAGCCCACCCGGGCACAGGTCAAACGACCCACACTATCCATCTCTGGCATACCTGTGCAGATGTCAAAAGCACAAAACTTTTATAATTTCAAGGAACAGTGATTTTGCTTCGGAAAGTGACTCCAAGCTCCATAATTTTCCTTCCCCAGCGATAATTTGCCTAGTTTTCACAACAATTTGCTAAATTCCTCTAAAGCATCATGAGTTTTACATAGTCCAACTAACTTTAACCTGGAATTTTAAGGGTACATACTATATTCTTTCTTTTCTTTGCATATTTCCTCGTATTTACTTTTATTCTCAGCTTTACTTAGTTATATTCTGTTCAGTGGGTTAACCTGGGAAAACCATATCATTGTCTAACATTACACATTAGAATGATTACACTTACATAGAAGACTGCCACCACCCAGGTTTTTCTTTAGAATTTAACTTCTATTATTAACAACGGGTAGTGTGGTTGACACGAGAGGTTAAGCAAAGTGAGTCTTATTATGTTATTTTCTGAAATGTCAATTGTTAGAAGGATACAGTACTCACATTCTACTGACTGAACATTTATTAAAATCAAATCTAAATATTATGACATTCTGAACCTTTACTCCCCACAACAAAAATTAGGTTCAATCACTGATTATGTTACTATAGCACTCGGACAAAACTGTAACACTTTGCCTTTATAAATAACAAAAATACATCTTCAATTAAGTTATGCACTTCTTCTACCTCCTTAAGGGTATCAACCGTATCATTTTATATCATTGACAATAAAGATGGTCACTTGATACACACGTCAATACAGGTTGACAATCCTTTATCCGAAATCCTTGGGGCCAGAGGCATTTCGGAATTCGGAATTTTTTGGTTTACAGAATGGTTAGTTTTTTTTTATGTGTGTATTAGCCCACCTGGGCACAAGTCACTAACCCACATTTGGGCCTGGGGGGCGAAATAATAATAATAATAATAATAATAATAATAATAATAATAATAATAATAATAATAATAATAATAATAATAATAATAATAATAATAATAATAATAATAATAATAATATGTAATAATAATAATAATATGTATAATAATAATATGTAATAATATATAATAATATATATATGTAATATATATAATAATAATAATAATAATAATAATAATAATAATAATAATAATAATAATAATAATAATAATAATAATAATAATAATAATAATAATAATAATAATAATAATAGTAATAATATAATAATAATAATAATAATAATAATAATAATATATGTAATAATAATAATAATAATATGTATATATATATATATATGTAATATAATATATATATATATATGTAATATAATATGTATATATATATGTAATATAATATATATATATATATGTAATATAATATATATATATATATATGTAATATAATATATATATATATATGTAATATAATATATATATATATATGTAATATAATATATATATATATATATATGTAATATAATATATATATATATGTAATATAATATATATATATATGTAATATAATATAAATATATATGTAATATAATATAATATAATATAATATATTATAATATAATATAATATATATATATATATATATATATATATATAATAATAATAATAATAATAATAATAATAATAATAATAATAATAATAATAATAATATAATAATAATAATAATATAATAATAATAATAATAATAATAATAATAATATATATATAATAATAATAATAATAATAATAATAATAATAATAATAATATATAATAATAATATATAATAATAATAATAATAATAATAATAATAATAATAATAATAATAATAATAATAATAATATAATAATAATAATAATAATAATAATAATAATAATAATAATAATAATAAATAATAATAATAATAATAATAATAATAATAATAATAATAATAATAATAATAATAATAATAATAATAATAATAATAATAATAATAATAA